TCCATATCGAATTCACTAAAGAATCGGTAATGGAGTATACCCAGTTTCACTGACACGACCTCAATATAGTCGAGTTCCACGATTTTCCTGGCCTCGAAAATAACAATAAAATATATCAATATGTTTCCGAACACCCACTCTTTTTGACTTTTGAGAGTAATTTGGACATATTGCTTCAGTGTTGCATCGATAAATCTACTCTAATATATCGTTTTGTTCAGTTTTAATTCTCTTTGGAATGAATTATTGCTCGAAAAGATTAAACATGTCGCTTTTGAGTTATAGTTAAAATACTGAAAAGTTGTAAGAGACATAGGTGTATTGGAAAAATGTTCTTTAGTTTCGAACGAATTCGTTCCGTATAACATCGGTTTCAATCATATCAGCAGAAAACAGATAATCGATCAGCACACTACGGACGTTGCCAAAACACTTCTGTTCATTGGGCAGTCGAGAGTTTGCGTTATTATGGGCGGAGCTTATTTGTATTGTCAAAAGTCAAGAAAGAACTGCTTTCAGCGACGATCTTTCTTATCTGATTCGAAAAACAATGATGCCGGTATCATCACACATTGTTTATTCAACAATTATGATAATATATTAGATCGGCTCAACCCGGAGGATATTATGATTGTTGATCGCGGATTTCGTGATGCAGTAAATGTTATGGAAAATTTAGGGTTCGAAGTTATGATGCCGGAGTTTTTATATGGAAAAAAACAATTCCCGGCCTATCAGGCTAATTCATGCGTAACGAAAATCAGATGGGCTGTTGAAAGCGTTAATGCGATGATAAAACGATGGAAATTTCTGAGTCAAACTATACAGAACAGCACCATACGTTACTTAGAAGAATTGGTTTTGATAGTTTGCGCATTAATTAATTGTTACCAATCGCGGGCTGCTAAAAATTTAGCAGATTTCTCTAATACAGGCGAACGAATGCTAGATATGATACATAAAGAAAATAGTTTGGAAAAAGGATCGATCGTATGGATTTGAGAAAACCTTCCAAATGGAAAGATATTAATGCTGATCAAGTGGACTTTCCAGAACTGTCAGAAGATGATATTCGAGAACTAGCTTTAGGTGAGTGTACATTACCTCACGAGGTTTATTCACTTAAGTATGTTCTATTTGCTTCTAACTTATGTATTAAGGTGTATTCCAAGTCAAACAAGCGCGGTCTTACGTAGAAGAGAAGAAATCATCGAGTGATGATTATATATTTACAGTTCAGGTGCGTCTGTTGCTAAACAAAACTGTCAGTATCAAAGAAAAGCATGTTTGTATGGTACACAAAAAACGGTTCTTCTAGAAAATACAAATATATTTTTAAAACTCACTTCATCATGTTTTGGAAACTAACTGACGCCTTTTCGATTCCAGAGTTGTTCCACTGCCAAAGGTATCATTAGTGTAAAACTACAATCTCGCCATATAAGTGCTAGAATATTTCTCATACGTTTAATTTGACAAAAATAAGTCAGAGTTCATACAAGGATGGTATTGTACATGTATAACAGGACCAAGAACGGCTGGCTGTTGCAGTCATGTGGCTACTCTACTTTGGCATCTCGGCTACAATCGTCATATTACTGAAACTGAACTTAAAACGTCAACAACTTGGATTGATTATGTTCACGACAGTCAGAAATACTCAGACTATG